CATCAAACTCAATTCTAACAACACTTTGAAAATCATGACACTAATCGATCGATTCTAATGCTATTTATATGAAAATTTGAAATGTTGAGATTTTGATTCTAGTTTCACTGATTTAAATTTGAGCTCAATGTTTGACATAGTACCCCCCCCAAAAAAAAATAAAAGCAAATGTAATAGTTACATGCGTAAGTTATTCCGAATTTTGTTCGTGCGCCGACAGACCATATCGGCCTTCATATAACCCGCCAATATTAATAATATGAACGATATATATTTAAGAATTCATAATTTAAAAGAACATTGAATAAATGATGTCTATGCAAAATTTTATTAGTATTGGTTGCATGTCAAAAAGTTATATTGACCACGACTTATTGGGACAACCCTCATATTCATATATCATGATAACCAGTAATATATAATAAATAGATTGGTATCATCAGAAGGATTGTTTTCCAGAAATGCATTCCACTCACTGTCCTTCTGAAAATGAAAATAAAGAACTTTATATTTGTTTTGACTGTATAAGAATAAAAAGGAGAAGTCATTTCAGATTCTCCTTTAAAACTTATTCATAAAATGTTTTGTTAGAAAAAAAATATCAGCATTATTGCGTTAACGTTCAACAATACATGTACATTGCACCTATTAGTCATATTAATTAGTTTAATGATTGTTTGTTTAACGTCCCGTAGAGAGTTTTTTTTTTTTTAACCTTTTTTGACACATCACCATTTGCCGGTTGTGGGCTGCAAATTTAGATTTGTACTTGACAAAAACGGCCTTTAAGTACTGAGGGTTCTTTTTCATGCCAGCACTTACTCGATTAATAAAGGGCTTTTGTGCTTTTAAAATGCTTTGCTTTTTTCAGACCTTGGCTGTTTTTGTCAAGTGCATTTTAATTGTTAATTTGTTTTGAGGGTTTAAAGCAATGGATTCAAGTTTCATTATCTGTTTGAATTTCAGACAAACGTGGGTAACTATAATTTTTGTTTTTTAAAGTACTTGTTAAGACACTCTTTCATGATGTAGTTTTGACTAATTTTTCAAAATATGGGTGGACCATTGAGTACTTAGCAGCTTTTTTACTGTTAAATGTTTCTTTAAAACGATGTGAACTACCCACAAAATGGTGCCTATCTTTGCTATGTGTCTTAAAGTCAATAAAACATCATCAGTGATAATTTGTTGAATTTTGGCAAACAGTACGTTGCTCGTAAAAAGTCATTGTCACCAAAGACAGTACCCATTTTTGATGCCCACCATATATCATTTTTGTTCATTGAAATCCACATGCTCATGTGTCTATAAAAAGACATTGAATACTGTAAATTTAACATATTTCTGTGAATAGTTCTTTGGGATTCTTTTACAAGTTTTACAGTAGATTTAATGAAGCGTTTAATTTCACTCCAGTTTAATGATTCTATAGAATTCATTTTTAATACAGGGTCTCGAATAGCCCTTGATTTTCAGCTTCTGGCAATGAAACTGTGTGATGAAAAGTTGTCACATAAACTGTAATCAATTCATTTAAGATTCAATAATAATAGAAATTCAAACTTAATGTCATATGATTTCTATACTGTATGTCATAGATCTCAGGACATTATTTATTGAACAGCCCTTGTACATTGTTTAAAATTACACGCTTAAGCTACTACTATTTCAATGCAAATTATCACAAGTCGGCATTTTAGTTAAAATAAACGAAATTCCGCAAGATAATTATAGTATGGGCGACCCTGTAAAATATAGTTCAAGCATCGTCGCTTTTGTGCACTTTTAAGAAAAATTTGTATTACAATTGTTAAGTAATTGTATATCACCTTGTGTTCAATTATGACAAATGCATTATTACGTTAACCACAGCAGGTATTTTTGTTATTTAATTCAAGAAGTAACTATTTTGTCACAAATCTGCCAACAGTTGTATAGAGTTCACACTCTTTTGGGTGAATGCAATGGCTCTGAATGAGACACGTGTTGGACACCGATTGTCCAATGCATGCATTGTTTTCAAAACAGTTCAGATTTGAAAAACAACTTCTGCAAAAAGTGCAATTTGTTTTGGAGTTTGGAAAAATATGCTCATCATGACTGAAGAAGAACCCAGGGCTGGGTTTCACAAAACTATCGTAAGATTTGTCCTAAGAAAGATCTTACGATCAATTTTAAGATCTGACTTATGATAATCGTAAGATTTCTCGGTGCTGTTTCACAAAACTATCTTAAGTACTCAGTATAAGAAATCTTAAATTCCACAGGGATTTTTTGTTTAAAATATGTTTGCACGAAGTTTAGTTGCATTTCCTTAATTTTTGAAATATACCCTCGAAAAAAAAAAAACATTTTATTGAATCAACTTTAATGTATTTAGAGTGCGTTTGTGTATGTTGGTGTTGGGTCATAAAATTAAATTTGAATTAATTTCATCACCATAAAAAATTGAATAAAATTTGTTTAAATGTCGATCTTCTTGCTCAGAAAATAGTAGTTCCTGACGATATTGTGAGTAAAATTTTGTATGGAATTATATAGAAAGCAAAACAAAGTTTCAAATCTAAGCAGCGAGGAAATCCTACGATTTCTTTATATTTCAGGAATTTATTATTTATGTAATTTCAAATCAAAATCATACAAACAAAAATGACATGAAATGTACAAGTTTTTTTTTTATATAAAAACAAAAATAAGATCTATGAAAAAAAAACCTGGTGGAACCTATTTTAAAAGAACAGACGGATAACATACTATAAAAATATAGTTTTAGATAAAATCTTAAAATGTTAACAAACTGAAATATGTTTTTGAAGTTTAGTCTTATCTAAGAAATACTTTTTAACAATATTCTTTACGTATACACTTAAAAAAGCAATAATTTAACAAAATGATTTAGAATGCTGAATTCAAACATACTTCTCTGCTCCTCCTGTGACGAAAATTGAAGGATAACAGCTTGTGTCTACCGTCAGCAAAAGAAAAAGAAAATGGATTAAAGTTCCTCAGAGTAACGAACCATCGAAATGCGCCTTAACTTAAAAATTAATGAGAATTTCAATAAAGATAGTGCAGACTTGTAGCTTTTAATAACTGTTTTCCTTTTTTAGATATCTATAATACGTTTTCAAGAATAGATTTGACAGTATGGCATTGTTTTGAATGAAATTTACATAAGGAACGTAACGTCATTACATCCTTTGCAATAGAACATTCTACAGTAACTGCTTACCTTTGTACACCAAAGCCTTACAATGTACATATATTTTTAAAAGTATTTAATACTTTAATAAGACATATACATGTCACTGCATTATATGGCATTATTATGAATTTTAAAAGTTCCTAAATTTTGTGACTGGATAAATATAATTGTTAAACTTTAAGAAATATAACTACAAATTCATTTTTTCCTTATACAAAGTGAAGCCCGGCGCAGCATTGTTAAATCTTTTTCTTAGCAAGAATCTGGGCCTGTTATAAAGAAATAGAACTATCAGAGTGAGTATGTTTTGTGTATGTGACGAACCCCGATTTATTCGTGTATTTTGATAATGAAATATATGTCTCGCAGAATTCGTGAAGTTTGAAATATATTGATTGATTGTACGAGTGTTGTCTGTAAAGTTCGTGAACAACATTGATAATTACTGACAAACATTGATAAGATGTATGAAACTATTATTTTCATTAAACTTTTGTTTCATTTTATACATATGCCAATTTTAAACAAAATTAAAGCACAAATGGATATATTTTTATTAGATACAAAGAGACATACATTGTACACTCATACCCGGAGCACTAAAACGAAAATACTTGACGTTTCCCGATGTCAAAAGCTAAATACATGTAACTTTTTCTTAAGCAGTCATCAAAGATGTGCTCAAACTATTTAGATTTTATATTTAAAATATTTTACACTTCCTTTACCTGATCCTGCAAAAAAACAAACCTTGGTCCGCTTATAAAACGACTCTATGTAAGGAAATACGGCAAATTCGCGTTATGGAGTTCAATTTTAACAGCACTGCGATCTCGGAATAATGGTCTTCCTTCACGAATGTCATCCTATAAACTATTCCTTCCGTTCGAAAATTTTAAATTCCACTTAAATACTAAAGAACAGCTTCCTTTACTATATTTTCCCGACTGTTTAAAGTATTGATGGGTCTATGTTGGTGTTTTTCCGATGTCTACGCAGAATTTTACCACTGCTCTCTGCTCCACCTTTTCCGAAAACGTCCTTTTTTCTAACGATGCCGACCCTGTCTTTATAGATTCTAACCTCCATTTCTCAGTCATTTCTTAACTCTGAACGTTCAAATTTTGCAGGTTTGAAGTCATACCTTTTGTCAACCACAAAATGTAAAAGTAATTCGAAATTCCGCGGAATTTTACAAAATACAAATAAAATTTATAATGTGATAAAAAACATTTTAATTAGAATTTTGCGGTGCTCCGGGTCACCATTCTAAGTCTAATAATGAAGCCATAATTTTAATTATATATTTGAAATTGAATATAATTTTACATTTTGTATTTCACATTAAGTAAAGGATCATAAAAAGGTTAATAATAAACATCAATGACGCCATTTTTATCCAAATTCGCACTTGTTCACGAACTTTACGGCCAACCCTCCTATATTGTTTAACGTCCCCCTCGAGAATTTTTCACTGATATGGAGACGCCACCACTTGCCGGTGATGAGCTGCAAATTTTGTCAGGGCCATTGAGCAGGGAGGGATCTTTTGCGTGCCAGCACCAACTGCGACACGGGACCTCGGTTTATACGCTCACAGTGGGATTCGAACTTACTTCGCGACTCTAACCACTCGGGCACGCGGGCGAAAATTATATTATAGTCCGTTAGATATTATTGATATATATTTGTTTTATTTGATTCAGATTTTATGACGAGATCAAAGTTTAATTCTTAACATATAAGTCAAAGAGAACACATAAGTTCTTAGTTTTCAACACCCCCCCCTCCCCTTCAAGACTAAATATGATCAATTTTGATTAAAATTTAACAATTTTAACAATCACGGTTCATTATTTATTTATTAAACTTTAAATTTTGCTGTTTCACATAAATATTAACATAATTTTCTGTGTACAGTAGTTATTGATGTTAGGCTATGAAAAAATAATTTGGACTCCCTCGCCTTTATATCACACGAATTTGGATTCAGATTTTTTTCTTCAGGTATGTATCTTGTCCTTAAAGCAGGATTATACAATGTATTTATTTATTTTTAATTCCTATGTTCTACATCGCTATCGCCTCCATTTTTTCGAGGGGGGGGGGGGGCTGACGTGTTAAATACATGCGTTTTAATTTTTAAACATAATTATTGTGTACTGCATATACATGTTTAAAAATCTGCGCCTATGTTTATTTTTTTAAATATATTGTCGAAAAATCAAGTACATGTATTTTAATCAGCAAAGGATTGTTGTTTGTCTCCAATATTACACTCTTGATGTGGTTCATAAAAATAATTTAAATCGCCATGCACAGTCAGCATGGTTAGAATAGTACTACCCGGGAATGGGACGAATTACATTTCGATTACTTCCTCTACTTTTTCATTTGATTTTTTCTTTCTTGATCACCGTTTTTCTTTTTCTTTTCATGTTCCTTTATCCGTCAAAATCACTACCTTGCCACATCTTGTAAATATTTGAAGCGAAACCAACTAAACTACCAGTCATAGATATAGTGGAGGGACATCCTAAGTAAAAATCAAAATACTGAGACAGTACTGAAAGACAGCATAATAGGGGGATTTTGACGGGGTCAAAATGATTTTCATGCTAGATTTCACAAATATGATTTTTTTAACGAGTTTTGATAATTTTTTAATTACCGGTAATACACTAAAAACAAAACTGTGAATAATGTGAATTCGTGTTTTTCATTTATTTTGAAGTAGAAATTTCAATAATTGCTACGTCTAGAAACCTTTTTGAATTGTCCGAATTTCACTTGGTTCGAATTAATATTTTTCCGGAAGTAAACAATGGATGATGCGTACGCAGTCGTAATACTACGCAGGAGAGTACTATGTTTACTAGTGTGTTTTACAATTAATATTTTGGGTTTACATTTACAAAATGCTTCATTAATTTGATTTAGAAAAAGGTTCATATCACTTTCTTCAGTTTGATATAGGATGTTTATATTTTGATCAAAACAATTTCTACAGTCTTTCATATAGCGTAGATTTAGAATGTGTTATCACCATGGCTTACGGTTGCTCTGACAGTAAACAAATAGACGGGGTCACGTGACCCCGTCTAAAAATATATGTCTGAATTCGCGTTCACTGTACTCTTGAAATAGGTGGTATGTATATAAAATGGAATGAAAATTAAAGCTTAAATTTATCAATTTGAATTATTTACTTTTAATAATTGTTATCCCCAAGTAACACTTTCATATCACTTCCGCAGGGATTCTATTTATAGATATCAGAACTTTATTCGTTTACTAACATTTACTGTAAATAAGATTGAGAACACAATCCTGAATGCATAATATTATTAAATGCCATATATTTCTTCAATTTAAATATCAGAGTGTAAACAAACCAAGCTATTTATCTTAATTTATAAAAAGATCAATATCTAGAGCTGGCAACAGATTGGAAACTCTACACAAATCAATTCTAAGTCATTTTTTTCTTATTTTAACAAACTTCTTCAAATCATTTTAGATGCAATAGATGTCATGAATGTCACATTATGACGTCGTCACTAATGTACTTAAGCATGATTGAAACGAGCGTAATTTTAAATTTTATAAGAAATATCACATGACTAAAATCACTATAAGACATTCTATCACAAAATTATTGACAAATTAGAGATTATATATAATTATCAAGAATAATTCTGATATACTAGTAACTAATTTAGGGTATTTACGCATATGATGAACTTATAATTACTATTATAATGGAGGACCTTGCTTCAATTTCTGAAAGCTCAACGTTCATAAAATATTAAATTCATATTGGCCACACGCTAGTACCTACAGCACGCCAAATTCACAAAATGAGCTAAACATAGTTTCACAGTTGATAAACTAGGTTTATCAGTTGTAAATTATAGTTTATGGAGTGTAAACTATAGTCTACAATGTAAATCTATATTTTGCATCTGTAAACCATAGTTTACGCGATAATCTATGTTTCAGAACCGTAAACTATACTTAATACTGAAAGCAAACATTTGCAATTGCAATACATAGAATATCTGATAAATACACGATTTGTAAACTATGGTTTACAGCTATTAACGATAGTTTACGATTGTAAACTACTGACGTGAATTTATGCTTATCAACAAAATCTATTGTTAACGTTTTATTACAGACAGATGCAGATAGATTAGCATTCGAAAACTATAGTTAACAACTGTTAAATATAGATTTACAGATGAAAACTATAGTTCACGAATTGTGAACTATAGTTCACGGTTTGCAAACTATAGTTTACAGTCGATAAACCTAGTTTTTCAATTGTGATATTATGTTTAGCTCATTTTTGTGAATTTGGCATGCTATAAGTACACGTGTACCTCTAAGATATTTTGTATAAAGGTGCATATATGTAATATTTTTATGCATGCAAAGTTTGGAAAGGGTACTTGAGTGTATCGTCGCAAACCACGGCCAAAATGTACGATCCTCTCCCATTCTGGGAGAGAGCTATATATGCCGACTCCGGACCGTGACTTGAGACGATGACTTGAGTCTGGCCACATTCAAATTTCGAAATAACTGCCTTAAAATCGGCGTTTTTAAGCGGTTTTTAACTTCATAGGTATATTTGTTCCTGCGCATGTGCTAAAAACGGTGGCCTGTGTGCCAAAAAAATATATGTAGCGCACCATGACATTGTGCTCTACAAAATAACATATGGTAGGTTTTTTGATTTCAAACTTAAATTTTGTCTAAAATTAAAGGCAGATATTGATGGTTCGTGGCTTTAGCTCTTTTAACACACACCCCTCACTATTTTTTTTTTCAAATTAAGGATGAACTTAATAGCTACCTAAGTTAAACTGTATAACCTGGGTTAGGGAAGTTTACGCTTTAAAAACTACAGAGTTTTTTTCTTTTAAAAAGTGCAAATTGTTACAACCCAGGGTGCCTATTAGTTTTTAGCTCACCTGAGCTGAAAGCTCAAGTGAGCTTTTCTGATCACATTTTGTCTGTAGTCCGTCTGTCCGTCCGTCTGTCTGTAAACTTTTCACATTTTCGACTTCTTCTCAAGAACCACTGGGCCAATTTTGACGAAACTTGCCACAAAGCATCCTTGGGTGAAGGGGATTCAAGTTTGTTCAAATGAAGGGCCAAGCCCTCTTCCAAGGGGAGATAATTATGAATTGATGAAAATTTTTTAATCTTCTTCTCCAGAATGAATGGGCCAGGAAAGATGAAACTCATGTTGAATCATCCTCAGGTAGTGTAGATTCAAATTTGTTCAAATCATGACCCCCAGGGGTAGGGCGGGACCAAAATGGCCGACCAAAGTTTTACATAGAAATATATAGGAAAATTCTTAATTGATCATATTTATATGGAAGCATTCTCAGGTAGTGTAGATTCAAGTTTGTTCAAATCATGACCCCCGGGGGTGGAGGGGGGGGGCACAGTGTCCGACCAAAGTTTACATAGAAATATATAGGAAAATTCCTTAAAAATCGTCTTTTTAAGAATAGCAAAGCCATGATTGGTCATGGGACTACTTTTGGATATAAACTTTTCAATAATAATCCAATTTCTACTTTTTCCTAGCCACGGTGCTCAGGTGAGCTATGTGGCCCATGGGCCTCTTGTATTTCTTGTAACACAATTTTCCTTTATGGAGTTTTGAAATCAAAAGTTGGAGGGTATTAATGTATAATGTGAAGAAGAGGTTAAACTTCTTGGTGTTACTATTGATAGTCAATTAAAATTTAATAACCATATTTCAAACATATGCAAAAAAGCAGCTAGACAACTTAATATATTAAAACGCATAGGTACATGTAAACACCTGACTAAAGTGGGCAAACTGACCATCTATTACTCTTTTATTATGAGTAATTTTAATTACTGTCCTGTTGTTTGGCACTTTTGCGGAGAAATTAATACAAGAAAAATTGAAAAAATCCAAGAAAGAGCTCTCAGATTTATTTATGATGACATGAACAGTACTTATGAGGAATTATTACTGAAGTCAGGGTTGCCAACTTTAAAAATTAGAATATTAAGAACAATGGCTATAGAAGTTTTTAAAATTTTAAAGAATGAGAGTCCTGCATATTTATCTGATCTATTTACTTTTAAAGAAACCCCATATCATTTTAGGAAAACTAATACAGTACAGAAACCTAGAGTAAGAACCACAACACATGGCTTACACTCTTTTAGATATGCAGGAGCCAAACTAAGGAATGAACTCCCTGAAATAATCAGAAATGCAACTACAACTACTCAGTTTAAAAGTTTAATTAACAATTGGAATGGAGATTCCTGTAAGTGTGGCTCCTGTAGATCTTAATCCTCAAATCTTAATCTTCAGTGTTCGCTCAATTTATTTTTAGTTCCTTTTTATTTATTTATTTATTTATTTTGGTATTGTTCTTTTGTTTTAAGTTTATTTTGTTTTGTTTGCTTTAAAAGTGAGTAAATTTAGTAATCATAAATTTATAGAATTAAAAATATACTTTTAACTTAACAAATTTGCTATATTTTTATCAAAATATATAAAATATTTTTATCAAAATATATAAATCATAGACTATATTTTTAGAGCATAAGTGCTACTTGGACACTCATTTATATTTATTTTCTGTGTTTGTCTTATTTATATGCATGATATATGTGCTTTCTGTGTCGTTTTGTGTGTGTAATGTGTAAATATGCTTGTTGTGATGCATGACAATGTAATTCTAACTATTTTATATGTGTATGTAGTCATTTATGATATGTAGTACTAATATAATGTCGGTCAAAAGCTCTACAGAGCTTATGTTTCTGTTTAAAAAAAAACCGACTCAAAATAAAATTTTCTGATTCTGATTCTGAAAAGGGAACTGAGGTGTTTATTGTTAAATACTTTGCGCATCATGGTAAATTAAAACTTATTTATCAGGTCACCTGAGTCAGTCAGAGGACCTTTTGGCAGCTGCTTTTAGATGGACTTACTGCTTAAAGAGCAATTAGGATTATTTCCAGTTTAGGTTGGAGTTCATTAAGGAGTGGCATTCTCGGCGCAACATAATTAGTGTCTGTCAAAGGACGAATAGTTCTCATTGGTTAAGAAATTAATAACATCAGGAACTTAAGATTGTTGTTGACAACGCTGATGCGACTTAAACTCCACTTCTTTACCGGGAGAGACGAAGAATCTTATTGGTTATTTGATACACTCGCTGACATTTTCCCGAATATTTATCCCTTGTAAATATCAAAAGTGGCTGAAAGCTGAGTATATTTCAGACGCTAATTACGTTACGACTAGAATGTCACGCCATATTGAAAGTCCAAGGTTAGCTGGGAAGGCCAAGCTTAGCTGGGAATTGTAATACTAGCTATTGTCAGCCTTTTGAGGCAGGACGTTGACCTCAAATGATTTTTTATATAGGTACGTAAGTTGTCGTGTGTTTTGCTTTAATGTATAGTTGCTTTGCGAAAAGGTTTGTTAATTATGCATTGTATATCATTTATTTCGTTTTTATGGTCATTGAAATTAAATTAATTGTTTGTTTTCTCATTATGGTAATTTTTGCCCTTTCCACTGCCCATAGAAATGGCATTTAGAAAAAATGTTTAAAAACAAACGGTCCTTGATCAGTAGTGCTCAAAATCTAAAATACGTTCATGTAATAAGTATACTTACAAATATACGTTGTATTTGATGGATATCTTGCCGGGCATGGAATCTTCGCTGATTGGCATGATTTGGCACTCATTTGTATAGATTTTCCAACCGAATCGTAATATGGGCACACACCTGCAGTACAAAATGCTTGGTTTGAGTATTGATTCAGAAATACAGTGTAATCTGCAGGAATAGTGCGTACGAAACATTAAATGTCATCGATGTGGTCGGTTGACAACTGGACAAAAATATACTTCAGAAAGTTACGCACATTGGAAAATGTTTCATTTAGTTAGAAATACTTTGTCAACTTTAATATTTAAGCCCGCTTACTTAACTATTACTGCATGTGTAATGAAGTAATGGTTCAAAGTATAATAAACACTTAGATGATAGGCCATAGTTAAATGCAATTACAAGTACATGTGTATTTTGAAGTATCAGCAGTTCGGAAGAATTGCTTTCGCTCTCGGTGAAACAGAGCCATAATTTATTTTTTTAAAAATAAATCAGTACATAAAATGGAACTGACGAAAGAGTTTATTGTATGTAGTAAAAAAAAATATTAACGCTCCATGCGAGGCGTATAGTAAATGTTTAGCATACAAACTAACTATAATCAAATTGTGCAACCATTTTATGTACGTCTGACTTTGCATGTGTAGTTTTACTTTATCGCCATATTGAACTAGGGGTACTTTGAGCATTGAGCTCACTAAATAATACCCCGCCTCCCATATGAATAAAATGGCAGTGTCCTGACTCCATGCTTTGCTATGGAAAACCCCAAATTATGCGTCGGATCAAAAATTAAAATAGAAGGTGCACAATTTCAAAATGTAATAAAGATTCTGTGAAAGTCTCATCAAATTTCATTCAGTGGTATGAGAGCAGTTGCGGATTAGAGATGGGTACCCAAAAGGGTAACAGACGGACGGACATCCCGAATCACTATATAGCCTCCTGCTTTTCAAGCAGGGGGTATAATAAACATGTGTGTTTGAACTCGGAGTTATACAGTTATATTTAATGAACTAAGCCATCCAAACAGGATCGAACAAAAAATTGATTTCCTTCAGTGCACTATAGATGGATACATGTAACGCATTCTACTGATCTATCACCGCTACACATATATAATATATGGTTTTTAAAATGACGATGAAGCACCGCAATTACCTATTTGAATTTTCCCGCTTGAAAAGTGGGAGGGTACATTGTAACCAGTATGTCCGTCCGTCCGTCCGTCCGTCTGTCTGTTACGCTTCGGGTTACCAATCTCTTATCCGCAACTCCTCCTATACCACTGAGTGACATTTAATGAAACTTTCTCAGAGTCATTTTTACATATTGCCATTGTGACCTCCTATTTAACTTTTTGATCCGACACATATTTTGGGTTTTCCGGCCACAGCAAAACATGGACTTTGCCTTTATAACCATATGGGAGGCGGGGGGTATCAGTTAGTGAGCTCATTGCTCACAGTACCTTAGTTTTACTTTTTGATCTGACACTTGTTTCGGGTCTCCAGGAGCAAAACATGGACGTTGCCATTATAATCAAATGGGAGAGAGGGTGTATCATTTAGCGCCCTCATTGATCACAGTACCTAAGTTTATGTGACGACAGCCAGAAACTTATCATTAAACTCTAAGAATAATACGACCTGATAGGTGTAGGTCACTGAACTGTTTAGGGTTGTTGCTCAATACCTCAAAACTTTTTTTTTGAAAAAGGTCTACTCGAGTATGTGTTTTCATAATCATACACACAATGTAACGAACCTCTTCTATGATTTCTCGCGGACATGGGTGTTTATATTGTTTCTGCACGTCCTTCATCAATATTTGTGAAATTGCAGCAACTCGTAACTGCAGAACTTGCTTTATTGTTTTATCATTACAAAGACTTGTTCAGTAAATCTTGTAAAGAGTGTAATTTTTCATTATCTATCATGTTTCTCAAATACTTTAATCCTTTAAAGTCACATGAGAAATTGGCGTTTTTATAGCTTGTATATTTTTAATTTAACATTTTATTTGACTTTAACATTTGAAATAAAGTGTTTTGATAAATATTATCTAAAGAACGAGACATGTTCTGGATGGCAGGTACAAATTTTTAAGTGGACGAGTGATTCAAGTTTCCATCCCCCCAAATTTGTATCGACGATGGAGAACCTGTTTCGTTCTCTGAAATGATTTGTGACACGATCAATCAAAATTCCATAGATACACATCGCCTCTAAGGTCGGTTGTACATAGTACTTCACTCATTAAAAACACAACAACCATGTAAGCATTATAGCGCACTGTGAAGACGCTAGGATTTATGATACCCCATGCAACAAGTTGTGGGAGGTATAATAATTTTGATTCGTCCGTCAGTCCTGTTTTTTTTTTGTCAGCCCAACTCATGATAAACCGTTGCACAAAATTTGATCAAACTTTGGGGATATTTAGGACACAATCTGCAGATGTGCATAATACCAGGAAATTCCGATTCCCTTTTTTTCCGGGAATGTCCGCACGTTTACACTTAGATTTTTGGCCATGCCTTGAATAAGAGATGAACAGTTTGCCAGCGCAACTACTCACAAACCGCAGCAGAAAATATCTTCAAACTTTTCAGTAATTTAGGACACAATGTGTAGATGTGCATATAACCAGCAAATTCGGATTCATTAATTTTTTCCAAAAATTTCTGCATTTTTTAACCTAGATTTTCGTCCATACCTTGAATATAGAGATGAACAGTTTGTCAGCGGAACTTCTCTTAAACCACTGCACAGAATTTCGTTAAACGTAGCATATATTAAGGACACAATGTGTAGTTGTGCATATTTCCAGAAAATTAGGATTCCGTAATTTTCTCGGAATCTCAGCACTTTTCAACTTAGATTTTTGGCCATACCTTGAATATAGAGATTAGTCTGGTCCTGAGTTTTAAAAAGAAGGCTAGAAATAACTTTTAACGGCAATTAAATAATTATTATTTGGTCCAGCATAGTTTTTCAACCTACTTCGAGTATGCTGAATCTGTAAAAATATGCTGGCCTTCATGAAAATGGCGTCAAAGAGGTCAAAATGGCGATTAAAAATGGCGGACATCCAATTTTTCTAATTTTCTCTTAATCTCGTTCAAAATGGAAAAGTAAAATGGAGTGTAATACAAGTATAAAAATAATAATAGAATGCTAATATTATTAGTTTAACTCAGAAAATATAGTCATTTCTACACTTAATTCGAATTTTCTCTGATTTTTTTTGTCTATTACCCTTTTATTCTGCTTTGTTCGGGATTTTACATTTGCAAACATCCATACACTGCAGATTTGTATTTTATTCCTCTATATCTCACTTTTCTACTTTGAATGACCGTTCACGGTAGCTCAGTCGGTAGAGCGCTCGCTCCGTGATCGGGAGGTCGTGAGTTCGCATCTTGTCCGCGACTGACCTAGTCGTTAAAATGGGTAGCAACTATTCCTTCGCCATGCGCTTGGCATTTTGAAGTGAAAGTTGCGGGTCCTTCGGATGAGACCTTAAAAACCGAGGCCCCGTGTCAGCGGCAGGCGTTTGCACGATAAAGATCCCTCAGTGCTCAATGGCCCTGAGTGCCGAGTACAGGTCAAAATTTGAAGCCCTTCACCGGCATACGGTGACGTCTATTTTTTCCATATGAGTGAAAAATTCTCGAGAGGGACGTTAAACAATATACAATCAATCAATCAATCAATCTACTTTAAATGATGGTGCAGCTGTAAGTTTAATTTCAAAATGGCGATTCAAAAGAGCGGATATTCATATTTTTTTCAAATTATTTCTTAATGTCGCTTTTAAAATAGGAGAAAGGATTTGTGAATATCTCACTGAGCATAGTACATCTATGTAAAATGACAATAGAACACTAATATTATCACTTTAATTCGGAAAATTTAGTCGTTTTAATTTGAAATGTTTTAATTAGCTCAAAATGGCGATTCAAAATGACATCATACGTACTCGAATTTCGTAAAATACTCAAACTGCTTAATTCTGAGTCGTTTTACAGAAAATATATTACAGTTTGATTTTTTTATTAATGAAATAATGATCAAATATGCTATGAAAGTTGGAGGAAACTTTTGTTAATGATTTTTATGACACGGATCTTTGTTTAATTACTTCTATTATTAAGATAAACTTTTGACACAATTCCGAAGTCATTTTACCTATTACCTGTCTCACCATGCTTCTTCATATAAAAAGTTAATAATATCATACAATAATTGATGTTTAGAGGGCAATATGAAAATTAAGCTACCCCAAGTGCAGTATTCCCCGAGTATAAAGGCGAGTACACATTGTAGTCCGAGGGTTGCAAAAACATATCAGTTGTTAGAAACTCTTGATCTATTTTTAGAAAAAAACAAATGTTTATGTTCATGTGGAAGGTCTAGTGCAACATAACTTAGTATGATTTTTAAAATGATAGACCACGACCAATTAGAGGGCTAGTAAATGTTACAGCATATACATCTGAATATATTATAATTTATTAAGAATTATCAGTATAATATACGTAAACCATAAATTTTCTTGATTGTCCAGCTATGATTCTGCGTCCCTGCATTTGCATTTTGTTACTCTCAGTCAAAGATTCAAATGCATTCACAAATATTTCTTGTTGTGAACGGATAATCTTGAATTGAAAAATGTATTTAAATTTTGAAATTTACAAAATCTGAAAGAGAAAACTGTTTTTTCTCCCCTTGATTCTTGATACAACTTTACACTATCCTAACAAAGAAGCGTGGATCAAGTTGCCTTGTAAAGTTCTTGCAGTGTTCAAGAAAATTTTGTTGTCAAGAGAAGTGTTGAATAGATTGAAGTCAAGAATGGCTTAGGTCTATTGGTACAAAAGCTTGTACGTGAAAAGAATCACAAGGAATCTGACCTTTCTACCCAAAAAGACAACAAATCTATACGGTCACAAAATTGAAATCTACATGTCTTAAATATCAGAGTTTTTTTTTATACACCCCGCTTCTCAAGCGGGAGGGTATATAGTGATCGGTATGTCCATCCGTCCGTTTGTTACCTTTTGGGGTACCCATCTCTTATCCACAACTCCTCTTTTACCACTGAATGAAATTTGATGAAACTTTAACAGAATCTTTATTACATATTGCCATTGTGCCCTCCTATTTACCTTTTTGATCCGACATATATTTTGGGTTTCCCATGGCAAACATGGACACTGTCACTTTATACGTACAGTGTATGGGAGGCGGGGGTATCATTTAGTGAGCTCATTGCTCACAGTACCTCTAGTTCATTTTGCATCAGATTTTGGAAAACAAAATTTTATTTTAACATTAACCATAAAGCTGGAATAGAAGATGTTAGGGGATAATACTAAGCTCTTATAAGTGCTAATTTCAAAAGCTAGTACAAAGTATTGATAAAATCGGACAAGAATTTCTTCAGTTATATTCCATGGTGTGCTGAGGGATCTTGAAGTAGAAGTTGATAATGACAGCGATTCAGGGGTGATTTGAGGTGGACAGGGCCGGCTCAAAGGCTTTGGAACACCGTCAAATACGAGGGGAAAATTAGGAACTCTTATTAAGTTGAGTTTGTTTCAACTATTTCCAGAAAAAAAGGAAATTTTTTAGTATTTTTGTTTGTTCATATTTAATAGACTAATCAATATATAGATATACTATATATATATATATATATATATATATATATATATATATATATATATATATATATATATATATATATATGCAGTTTGAGTTTTTCACGAAATTTGAGTGTATATGACGTCATTTTGAATCGCCATTTTGAGCTAATTAACACATTCCAAATTAAAACGACTTAATTTTTTGAATTAAAGTGATAATATTAGTGTTCCATTATCAATTTTCATAGTTGTACTACGCTCAGTAAGATATTCACAAATTATTTCTCCTATTTAAACGACATTAAGAAATATTTTGAAAAAAAAATGAATATCCGCTTTTTGAATCGCCATTTTGACTTTTAACTTATAGTTGCACCATCATTCAATTGTAGAATTGTGAGATGCAGAGGAAAAAATACAAATCTGCAGTGTGTGGATGTTTGCAAATGTAAAATCCCGAACATAGCAGAATATAGAAACGATAGGCAAATAAATCAGAGAAAATTCGAATTAAGTGTAGAAACGACTAAATTTTCTGAGTTAATCTAATAATATTAGCGTTCTATTATCATTTTTATACTTGTATTACACTCAGTGATATATTCACACATTATTTTTTTCTCCTTTTTGAAAGATATTATGAGAAAATTAGTAAAATAAAATTGACCTGCTCGGGTAGAGTTGCGCTAGAAACTGAACTCTACTATCGCGAGAAAACTATTCAAACACGTCATTCCCCAAAATTTCATTTCATTGGTTGTAACCAAGTATACAACTTTACTACATACACACTACGCAATTTCCGCTCAAGAACGATAATTCGTTTACATATCGTAAGGACAACTATTTCTCGCTATAATCGTTACGCCAGAAATTACAATTATACCCCTCCCCACTTGAAAAGTAGGAGGGTATATAGTGATCGGGATGTCGTCTCTATTTAGAACATATTTTATTGTATAATTCATACAAAGGAATTTGTAACAAGTTCTAACAACTCAGAAAAACCTTTCCAAACTCCTATCCACAACTCCTCTTATACCACTGAATGAAATTTGATGAGACTTTCAGAGAATCTTTGTTACATAATTAGAAAAAAGTGTGTGCACCTGCTATTTGACTTTTTGATCCGATACTTATTTTGGGATTTCCCATAGCAAAACATGGACACTGGTATACTTTCTATAATACCCCGGTATTAAAAGGTACCAGTTCAGTGCTCATAGTAACCTTTTTTATTCGCTAGCAAATACATGAATTATATGTATCATACAATATGTATCATACTACAGAAAATAGAGAGGTTGAGATTTCAAATGTGTACGTGTACAGGTACGTTTAATAGGGTCCTGGCGTATTACGTTATCAATTTTAGTGATGACGAGTTTTCTACACGTCCTTAGAACTTGTTGAGTGGCATCTACACGTAAGTAAAAGCGTGTAGCTTTAATAATAAAAATCGGTCAATTTATGTGTGGAAATGTATTTGTTATACATTATTTAAGATGTTGAGTTTCACGAGCACTTATTTTAATCATATTTTGTTAACTACATAAAATCAAACTGAAGTAACAAAACTTCTAAAAAGTTGTTAAAGAGACACCGATCGCGGTGTACACGTACTCGTTACACGTCATAAAAATCTCAATAGACAAATTACAAACACGTGTACGTCAAAGTAGATGCATAAGTACACGTTCTCGTACAAGTTTTACATCTCAACCTCTCTAATGTGAGCGAAATGATACCCTCTTTCCATATGATTAGAATGACGAAGTCCATCTTTTGTTTTTGGATACATGACTGATTAAAGTTTCGGATCAAAATGTAAAATAAGAGGTGCAAAATGACACTATGTAATTATAAAAATTCTGTTATGAAATTTTATTCAGTGGAATAGGAGGCGTTGTGGAAAAGAGATGGATACCCTCAATATAATAGAACGACTGACAGTGCCTGTGTTTTGCTATTGGAAACCAAAATATGTGTCCTATCAAAATGTAAGGTGAAAATTGCACAATGGCATTGAGTAACAAACATTCTGTCAAAGTGTGATGAAATTTTATTCGATAGTATAAAAGGTTAAGAGATGGGTACCACCAAAGAGTACACAACGCACGGTCTGACGTACATACAGATGGACGAACACCCCATCACTAAATACGCCCGCTTGAAAATATATTAATAAAGTGATTACCACTCCTTAAATTTATCTTTAAAAAATCAACAAAGCAGGTGACACATACTCTAGTTAAACTAATATAGCTTTTCTTTAATCACTAGAAAAGGGAGCATAAATCGGTGTTTAAATTTTATATTAACAAGTGCTTGAACTATATTTTTATATGAAGTAGAAAAAGTCCACATGTAGTTACACATATAAAATTGTATACTTTGATTTGAAAAACATTTTGATAGTTTCGTTTCGTATCGGTAGATTTCGTTTCGTTTCGGCAGATTTCGTTTCGTTTCAGTTCGTTTCGTTTCGTTTCTACTTCGTTTTGCACTTTACAGGTACCCTAGTTTACTGTGAAAATATGTTTAGCTCATTTTTGTGAATTTAGCGTGCCATAGACTTCTTAAGTTGACGATTTAATTGGACATTTAAACTTTTATCACGTCCGGAGGTAAGAATTGACAATGCACAAGGAAACCTTTCTAAATACAGAATTTGATATATTTCCTGGTTTATACAGCATTTTCAGAGTTTGTTTTAGATGTTTGCTAAATTACATTGCTACTTGCTGCTCCGTGACGTACTTCGAAGTCATTGCTTTCGGTTTTTAATCAAGAATATCTGTCTTTAGAAATTGATTTTTGTCACCCATTTTTTTTTTATAATTAAATAACTTTAAATTTCATTCCATATGTTGTTTCCATTATATACTTTTTATTTGTAAACATGAAACAACCAGTTTTGTTCTTCAGTGAGTCTGAGTTCATTTGCAATTTATTTTTGTGAGAATGGTCATTTATTTAATTAACCACAAATATATTTGATCAAATGATGAAATTAATTAATGTCAAACATTGATTAACCAAAAATGACTTAATTAATGACAATAAATTTGAAAAGGAGGGGTTAAAAACCAGGTCATTTATTAAATTTATCAAGAACAATTGTATTTGGATATTGATATCTTTTTAACGAGGCGATGTATTACATTACCTTTTAGCATCTAAAGTGCGAGATCAATACAAAATTTAAACATTCATTTCGTTTAAGGCCCAATTATTAGAGCTAATACTATAGATATCATAAGGTGTATAATAATTAGTAAATAACAAACTTTTGTCACTCAAAGTATTAGAAACTGTTGTTAATTTTTTAAATTATATTATGACGTTAAATAAAAAAGTAATCACAAAAATCTACGGACTTTTTCCATATTCCTTGATCATGCATTACAAATCGACTAAACGTTGAGGACACATTTAGCAATGAAGGCCACTCAAAAAATTCTCCTTATGTAGAAGTTTTAAAGATTACCAGATCAGACCAGACCTTTTGGTATTACTTTCGTCTGCTGCCGTGCTTCTCAGGACCCACTGGACCAAAATTTAATCTATCTGGCAGATAAATCCATGGGTGAAGGAAAGCAAAAGTTTTAATTTCACCCCTTCCCACTCTCAAAGAAAATGGAAAAACATTTCTACTGAAAATTAAAGTTCATGGCCGCAGGTGCAGAGTTTTTTAGGTTCAGTTTGTTTTTGATGATTTAAAAGTGAAAATGCATTAAATTCCGTTGAAAGAGTCTTCTCTCTCCTGGGTATCTAGGAGACAAACAAATAACAAACTTTGGAGGGTGGTATCAGATTTGCGAAATTTAGTCCACTTTGTCAAGTGTTGTGGTGCATTAAGGTGCTCTGTTGATCGTGTACTCTACTGGGGAAGTTTTTTCCTTTTGCTATTCGTTATGATAATAAATCACAGTGAATAGTGTAATTGGTAGTCTAGATCAATTGAATAAATAAAATATTTAAGAATTTCTATTATTATATATCTTATAAATAGTCTCTAATAAAAAGCTACTACAAATCTACAGAAGTTTAGAATAGCTTGGCGTTTTATTGAACGCTGAGTTTGTATTTTTTATATGAGTATGTCCAAAACATTCCGAATACAAGCGTTCAATATCGAATCCCCCGTTTTAGTATTATTCAAGCTAAAACGCTATACGTAGGGTCATTTAAATGATGCAGTATTAAACACGTACAGGACATATTATTCCTTTATAGCTTGGGGTAAATGTTTTTGCAAACCGCTATTTCATTATATTATTTTGGCATTGAGATACATATAACAGAGAGACAGAGAGAGAGAGAGAGAGAGAGAGAGAGAGAGAGAGAGGAGAGAGGACTTGCCTTGGAGAAATTTGGTTTTTGTACAGACTTCCACTAGGATTGTAAAGTTCTCTGTTGGCAAGCAATGATATTCCATCGTAGAATCACAACCAAGAGCACGACAATTCTTTTTGTCCGCAGCTTCCTCCCAGCTGGAGCTCGTTCTTGGACAAGTGGAGACGGTTGTAAAGTTTATGCAAGTCCAAATCACCTGTTAGTATACGACGGTATAATTATTTAAATGAAATGTTATAAAATATTTGGTATTTCCTTTGATCTTTTAATGAATAAATAAATAATTCTTGACAGTATATGATTTTTTTTTATCTTAATTTACATTTAAAAAGTTTTTTAAGTTATATTTACTACTTACGTCAATGAAATGAAAAAAGTATGATGAAGGAAATAAATGTTCTTCCAGATCTCATTTTTCTAGCATATGGTTCAATATTTCTGAAAACAATATCAAGTAATCTAAGATTTCAGATTCTGAAAAAAATATTTTGCACAATTGTTTCCTTACAAACTTCATTAAAACTTTTTTAAACAATTGATGGGCAAACGGTAAACAATGATATTTTAAAGTATCAAAAGTGGTGAGAATCCCGGCCAATTATTTATCAAAAACTATTAAACATGCATACAAAAAATGTATCACAATCTTTAGATTGTCTAGTCATAAATTACTGGTTGACGAAGGTATCTTTGTTAACGGAAATAGAAATAATAGAAAATGTTTATTATGTTTATACGTATTATCTTAAGTTTCCAAAGTGGATATTTTAGAGGATAATTTATCAATAAATGGTACCATGTTTCTACTATAGGCCTGTACCATAGGTTTTTTTTTTTACAAAGAATATAAAACGTGCTTTCTTTGGTACAATGTAGTTGAAAATTTTAAATTTTTTTTCATAAAGGTGAGCATTTTTTAAAATTCTTTGCTCATTTACCATACTCATCTGGGTTTTGTCGAAATGTAGCACCGAAAACGGATAACATTGCAGAGAGAGACCATGCTACAGGGTAGGATAATGAAGTATTGTTTATTTTTTTAATAGTAAATTTTTTCAATGAAAAGGAAAATTCTTCTGCATTTACGGTTTGAAACGTTAACATTTTGCATTGGGATGAATCTTTCATGATTCTAGATTTTTAGAAGGTGACTCTGAAAAATGCCACCGTATTAACATAAAAAGCAGTCAAACAGATGAAAAATACTATTATCACCCTGCGCTAAAGAATCAGAATGTACAGAAAATACAACTTACAGTAGCTGTACTGTGCCCGTGTCTATGTTTCTGCAAAGAGCTACTGCTTTCAAAAAACGGATAAAAAGACAGCTGCAATTGGCAAGAAACTACAAAAAATCAAATGGAAATAGTTATTTTTCAGCCAAGAATATATTAAAGTTCTAGCAATTGATTTGTACGAATTATGTTTTAGTAACTGAAATAAAACTCAAATAATTTAAATAAATACTTTAAAGATTAGAGTTTGGGCCATCACAGGAGTCTGAAGTTTTTATCGTCAATCAAAAAAAAAAAAAACCAACTAAAAAAACTAAAAAAAAACAAACACCAGGATGGCAACGTGTTTTGGGGAGACCCACCTAAACAAATAGATCTTGGTTTGGCCAAAATAAAATCCCGACTTATTCAGTTTGTGTTATTTATTCAAGTTGAAAAATTCAATCTGCTTGACGACTACGGGTAGTGCATTGCCTTTTTTCCACATTGACAGCTTATCCTGGACTCATGCCACTGAACCGAAAGTGAATCTCGCAGTGTATATTTGGCGTCTATGAAACTTGTTCAATTAAAATGAAATATATAATTGTTCAACATAATTTGATTAAATATATTTTCAACTTTAAAAAGTTATCAATTCTTTTTCTTACTTATATGACGATATGTACCAGGAACAGATAATTCAGTTTTTCCAAAGCGACAAATTTAAATCACTGAAAAGCCAAGCCAAGAAAGAGCCAAACAGCTAAGACGACATTATAAGGCATTATTTTGTTTCAGAAATATTTATTTTTATTGATCACATATGGAGACATAATATTGTACAATGAAGATTTACATGCAATTTTTTTTTTGTTTCATTTCTTCCATTATGTCAAATATTCACTGCGGAGTTACTTCCGGTTTAGTGGCATGGAGTCCAGGATGAGTTGTCGAGGTGGAAAAAAGGCCAAAAACGTCCTGAAGTCGTTAAACAGATTGGATTTCTTAACTTAAATAAATAGCACAAACACTCCGAATACTGAATTACATGTAGTTGCGAGATTTTTTTGGCCAGCACAGATCTGTTTGTTTAGATGGGTCTCCCTAAAAGACGTTGCCATCCTGGTGTTTTTTTAGTAAAGGGTGGGAATTTTTTATTTACGGTTTTATTTGATTGTCGATAAAAACTTCAGACTCTTATGGGGCCATAAACTTAATAATTATTATCGTCCGAATTTCCTCTTTCATATTTATATTTTTCCCCATTATGAATTTATTATTTAAAAAATATGAATGATCAGAACTCTAAATTATTTATAGTATCTATCAGGTTACTTTTAATGCTCTAATTTTCATGGTAATAATATTATATAGGGTCAATGATGAAATCATTGAGATGTGTTGTATGGAATGGTTTTTGTTCATATTTTTGATCTTCTTTAGTCCGAATTTCCTCTGCATTACCCTGCATTGATTTTTGTTCCTGCTTATTTTCTTCGATTAATGAAATATTAAATTTTTAAATTAATATTGAGTGAAAACTTGATTATTTTATCCATTTAGAACAATTTTTGATCTAACATACTATACTTTATAAAATTTCTTTTCTGTTTTCTGAAACCTGAGTAAACTTCATCCTTACGACTTATTCAAGGTATTCGAAATAAAAAAATGAATATCAGTTTGACAGAAAATTTTGAAAGTACCGACCTACCTTAAGATAAATTGATAATCGTACACATTGAAACATTACTCACCTGAGCATTGTAACTAAGAAAAAAACAAAGATGAGTTAAGTGTTGAAAAACTTATAGAAATAACTTGTCGCAACCCATTCCTTAAAAGAGAGTCGTGGTATCATTTGAAGAAAACTAAATGTACACTTACTAAGTATGCTTATATATTCTTTGGCTAACTGTGACTTTCTCCCCTACAAGTTTGATCTTTCATTGTGGCCCTACCCTACCATTAGGCCTAAGGGCCATTATTTGAACAAACTTGAATCTACACTATCTGAGGATGCTGCCATATAAATACAATAGACAACGGACAAATTTCGATTAGAAAAGCTCACCAGAGCCTTTGGCTCGGCTAAAAAAAACGTAAGCCCATCCCCATTCTATGTGAAAATAAAAATCAAATTAATGATCAATCAACTCATAACTTTTCAGATTGATTACCATCTGCCACCGAGACAGGGTAGGTAACTATCACAAATTCAAAAAGAGGACCAGGGCTGCATCGTCACCTGAGCACTTTGCTATAGGAAAAAGCAGGAAAATAATAAGTTTAGTATTGAAAAGTATAAATATGACCAATCACAACCTTGTAGATTTAAGAGATTTTTTTCTATGCATCCCTATGTTAAACTGTCATCGCCAATTGTGCCCTACCCACCCCCTTCACTCTAAAAAAAGTTTTACTAGTTGTTTTTAAAATAAGATATTAGATTAAGAAAAACTAGTAATTATTAGTAATCCATTTATTCAGAATAGCAAGTAAATGACTATCATGGTTAGTAATTGTAAACATAATTAGTAATAAGGATGAATTCTTTTACTTATAAAATGATTTACTAAGTATCAATACTTAATAGGAATTATATTACTTAATGAACTACTCATTTTTAGTAAATTATCATTACTTAATTTAGAGATAATATGCTTTCTATTTACTAGATTTTATGAATTATTACTAAGTAAATGTAATTCTGAAATTAATTAAAATCTAGAATATTATTACTTAAGGGAATGCTAAGCAAATGAAATACTTATCATATTTACTAAAATCGACATTATTTTCAAGAAAAACTGCAAGGTATCGACCCTCTGATAAAGGAGATACATGTAACTATGAAAGTACAAAATGTAAGACTAATCACAGTTTTCTTGATCACAATGTCTAATTGAGCTTTCTGAGTAGTCAATTAGCTGAAATCTACATGGAATGGTAACAATACTCTCTATTTCTTTTGC